CTTCAACTTTTACCAAAGTAATTTTTTGGCAAGATACTTGTACTTTTACTCAAGTATCACTTTGTGGTACTTTATACAACACTGTTAAACACATATTATCCAGCACACTTTGAAGCTGCTATGAGAGTTTGTATGCACACCATTGTGAAGCAAACACATAACTAGAGTTATAAAACTAGTCTGAGTGGGGGTCCCCATTAGACTAATGTTCATGTTTTTGGTCCGTGGGAGGAAACCAACGTACCCGGAGAAAACCCACACATGCATAGAGAGAACATGCAAACTCTACAGAGAACTGTCCACAGACAGGATTTGATCCAACAAACTTCTTGCTTAGAGGCAACAGCTTTGCCAAATAAGCCACCGTGTTGTTCAGGTGGGTGTAGTTTCAGCTAATTCAGTAAATTTCAGCAAAGTCCTAATGAGGTGARCATATTAAAACATGAAAGGTTGAAAAAGCTGAAGATATGCTCAAGTAAATAATGTCCAAGAATCATATGAATGAAATTATAAACAGGAAAATGATGATGTGATAGCTGATTTAAGTTTCACATAAGAACAGCTAATCAGTTCTGCATTGTGTTATGKGCTAAGATGAAGAGTCAATTACTTCTGTGAATAACGATGGTAGCAGTTGATGAGTGTGGTCCAGCCTGCAGGGTGGATAAATCATTGCAGGAGCGCACTGACAGTCTGTAGTCGTACTCTGGGTTCAGTTGTGTTATGTTGATGGAGGTAACTGTCAGCCCTTCTGAGTCTGGCAGGAAAACAACCCTGTCTTCACATGCCTCCCACTGACTGACAGCTTCTGCTTTTTTCTCACACATGACACGATATGTCAGCTCCTTCCTGCCCCCCCAATCAAGAGGAGGGTCCCACGCCACCCACAATGATGAACTGTTATGATGAACAACTGTTAGATTCACAGGAGGAGACGGTGGTTCTGTGAGAAACAAAACATCCAATTAAAACTCAAATCAATTCTGCAAATTAAACAAGTAAAAACAAATGAACATGCTTCTGTTAGCATCAAAAATAATCAGCTGTATACACTAAGGACCACGTCTTTAATTTAATAAACTAGATCAGAGGTCACTACTAGGCAAACCAGGGTCCATGATGTCGTATGGGGACTTGGACTTAATGCCAAAACAGAGATCACAACTTAAAATCTTATTGAGCGCTTTCTGGTTTACATGCGCAGATTTTGCAGTCTTTGCTGTAGTGGTCAAGTGTTGGAGACAGAGAAAATGACGAAGAAGGTGATAGAAACAGGTGGAGAAAATGAGAAATACAGACAGAGAGAAGGAAACATGCAGGCAGGTGAGACAGAGGAAAGGATGGAAAAAAATAATAGTTGAGATGAAGAAGGAGAGAGAACCTGGAGGGGGAAAACATATTTCTGAGTTAACTGGTTTGTTTACAGTATGTTTTAACACTCACCTATACCTGGGGTATGAATCAAAACAAACAAATGAATAAATAAATGACCTGAACTTAAAGGCACAGTGTGTAGGATTTGTTGTTTTCAGCGACATCAAAATTTGCTCAGTAGTTAATTAAATATTTTTGGTAATACGATCAACAAATGAACACATACAGACAATAACCTTATCACCTGGCTTCTTTTGCTTTCTGGTAGCATGTGATAAGCATGAGAGAACTAGTACCCCTGTCTAGCRTTGTAACTTAAATAAACTTACTCTGTAACGGCCTGATTCTTTCATTCCTAGCATAGCTGTAATCACAGAAATGGAACGGTTTAAAAATTAAAGGCACAGTGTGTAGGATTTGTTGTTTTCAGCGACATCTAGTGGTTGAGTGGTTGAATTATCCTCCCTGGTCCTCCCCCCACCCCCACCTCCGCTTCCAAACACAAAGGAGTTGCTACGGTGTCTCTCAGGTGTCAAAAACCTTTGATAATTCCAACCGCGATGTCTACCAGCAGCTTCACGGCTAGTGATGTTTCAAGTGGTAAGATTATGAGCTTTAATAAGTAAAATTATCCCAGCTACAATGACAAATATTACATTTATATTATTACAACTAAAACCGTTTTAGACGCCGCCACCGCAGTTTGTCCTTCATGAGCCTTCGTAGACAAGATGGCGGTGCAAGATGGCGGCTGCCTGTAGTGGCGACCCACGACCATGGAGATGTAAACAGATTTTTATAAGGTAAAAATAATAAAACAAGGTCTTTGTCTGCGATGATTAGACATGGTTTTTGTTATTGTCATTAGTGATTATCTCAATTTCGGCTAAAAGAATTGACAAAATCTTACACACTGTGCCTTTAAATAGCACTGTATCAAGTCCCTACAGACACCAAAGTGCTTTACACCAGTGGTTCCCAAACTTTTTGTCTTCTGACCCACAAAATATCCATGGCAAAAACTTGTGACCCCAAATATTACTGGTCTGAGAACACGAACTTTGTTAATAACCACAAAAACACAGGCTTTCTGACAACATAAACAGCCTATACACAAATATAAATACTTATTTTTACTTATTTTGTGTTTTTGTAATAATTATAGGGAAAATATTACATCAGCAATTTTTAAATTACCCTTTAAATTGATTTCTGGAGATTATCCAAGGTGCTTTATGACCCATATTTGGGTCCCAAGCCCAACTTTGGGAACCAAAGTGCAGTGGTTCCCAAACTTTTCAGTTTTTGACCCACAAAATAACAGTAGCAGAGACCTGTGCCCCAGCAATTTTTGGATGATAAACATTTGTATCAGGTCAACAATACACGGGCATAGTAACAATATTTTTATACTACATTTATCCATTTTAAATATACTAACCTCTCTCCGTTGTAACAACTAAGGCAAAATGTAATTAATTCAGAAAATCTTTTCAGGACCCAACCTTGATGTTTCGGGACCCCACTTTGGGTCCCGACCCCAACTTTGGGAAACACTGCTTTACACTACAGATATTCACACATTGATAGTGGTAAGATACATTTTAGCCACAGCTGTCCTGGGGCACACTGACAGAGGAAGGGCTGCTGTGCATCGATCCCGTTGGGCCCTCTGACCACCACCAGCAAGCAAGACARATGAAGTGTTTTGCCCAAGGACACAACGACTGAGACAGAGCGGGAGTTTGAACCTTCAATCCACCAGTTACAGGACAAACTCCCGACCTTCTGAGCCACTGCTGCCCAGTGGCTCAAAAAAGAGATCCTTGATGGAAGCAGATGAAAACTGAAAATGGTGCGGCATCAAGTGATGCATCAGCCATGTCAGCACAAGTTTTCAAAGAATAGCAGGCTAAACTTAAACCAGTAGGAGCTGAAAGACCCAGCTCATGGAGATGAAACAAAACTTACTTGTGCATCCTAGCTCATAGGGGTCAGTTGGCAAGTGACCAAATCCCTGCTGACACTCACACCTCTCTGATCCCTCCTTCTGGGTCCAGGTGTTTGGTGGGCACAACTGGCATCCTTTGCTCTCATTGGCTGATTTATAGTATCCTATCCTACAGACTGAAGAGGCAAAATATTCACTGTTAAATGAAACTTGCATGGAAAAAACATCAGTGGATGAACTAATTAACATTTGAAGCCAACCCAGCTCAAGCTGGCTGCCACAGCTAACTGACCTTACACAACATAATAACTAAAACTCTGTTAATTTGAAAGATTTTGAGATTAAATAGCTGAGCGTGATCAACTCATACTTCAAGACAAGCCTAAATTTTTGCATTAAAAGTTATCAATAAATGTTGGAGTCAGAGTTGTTAGCTAAATATCTCATGAACCACTGAATGAATTTTAAATAAGTAGAAGTATTTCTTAAATCTGTAAAATTGACAGAGCATTGTTTGTGTTGTCTAATGTCAAGTAGCTGTGGTGACCATCTTGAATTGGGTTGACTACAAAAGGTCATTGGACCTGCAATGATTACTGTCTAAGACTTTCATTAAAACTTGTCCAGTGATTAAAAAGTATTTTGGTAAAACATCAGACAAATAAAAAGAGCCATCATTTCCAGAATAGCTCCGTTATGGATTGAACTTCTTTTCATCACTTTTCAACAATACAGTCCTGTTGGCAAAAAATGACTTGTTCTTTAGAAATAAATTTATATTGTGTGAGAGCTTCAAGATAATCTGAAACTTTTATGTGTATGACCTCAACTTCAGATTCTTTGGAGTATTTTATCATCCAGTGTTTTCTTTTTAAGAACTGACTTGAGAATAACATTTATAGAACAAATCATGCTCCCAAATGCCACCTTAGTGAGAGGCTACTGTTATGTTGAAGTTCTATTTTATGTCATAGTTTATAAAACTATGCATTTTGATTCAGCTGAGCCACATAACTTCAACTCATGGTTTGCACCAACAAGGTTTATCAGATTTATTAACTTAGACTTGGCCTTTTCTATRCATGAACCTTCAAACTGCATTCATTTAGGAATACTATGAATCCAGTGTGTATACAACGTCCAGATGCACTGTATGGCAAATGGAACAAGTGAAGAGCACACCATAGCTTTGCAAAAACTAGATCTCGTTTGTAAAGAGGATTTTTGGATTTCATAATCAAAGAACAACAAATATTAACAAAATAACTTTCTTACGATATAATAATTTATGATCGGACGGCCACATCTGACGGACTTCTCTGATTGTTTTCTGTTTTATGTCTGCCCATTTAATAAATGATTTTACGACCATACTCGCAAGACTTTTTGTCTATTTAACATCCTTTCAACGTGTTTTCTGCCCATCTTGTCACGACACATTCAAATTAGAAATATATAAATAGTGTCAACAGTCTTTGTAATTGTCAGGATGGGCCTCTGTCAAGGGCAGGGRGTGTCACTCAAAATGCAGGGAGTTGAGAAAAAGGTTTTTAACAAAAACTTGCAGGTCTCAAAAACATCTGGAACATGARCTTGCTACTTTAACAGGTAGTACTCACAGGTTAAGAGGACACAAAAAGGGAAAAAATTGAGGAGGGAGAGACCAACACCTAACCGTGAACCRGTAGAGAAGACAATGCTCTGACACTCGGGAGAACCAAGACTTTGTAAACAYACGGGRCTRATCACAACAAGTGGACACACCTGCGGCAAAACTGACTTTTGGAAAAACTAATCACAGGAGTAAATGCAGGTGAATAAAGAATAAAGACAGAAACTACACAGAGAGATAGAAAACTCAGACCACAGACACAAYGGGATAAAACATCAACTACACTGTGACAAAGTGCACATCCACAGCATGAACACGCAGAAACAGCCACACTGTGACAGTAATGAGTGTAACCGTTTGCTGTTTAATTTTTTTTTTTGCCAAAAACTCTGTATTATGAGAACATTGTATTTCACAATGTTGCTAACTTTGTTAGCCTGGTAAAAACCAGCCCCTTGTTCTTCGCTTCGCTACAAAGGGTCTGGACTCTTAGCTATTGAGAAACAATTTCTTGCTGAAGGCGAAGTTTTAAAATAATTGGCTCTGTTTTACCCAATTACTAATGGTTGGCCATGACGTAGTGCGCCAGCTTGACCATGAAGGAAGCTAAGCTAAGAAGCTAACCGGAAATTGTTTGTTGTAAACAAACATCCCCTACYGGAAAGAGAGAAAYACTGAGCCAAACGAGATGGCTGCAGTTCTGCAGGCTTTGTGAGACAAATTTAATTTAATTTGGAAGCCTTGTCAACACRGACAGAATGGCTCCATTCAACTTCCTCCACCACAGGCAGACTAAAACAGTGCAGAAAATCAACATCATCATTCACTCTTCCTTCTGTTCGCTGATCGGCTTTGTTAAAATTTTACYGAAGAAATTCATGTCAAAGGGAGAAAGCCCAAATAGAGCAGAAAAGGGAGATGAGAATCAAGCAAAATTGTATAGGAAGGCAACGGCCAGGCTAAATCTTTAAGGAAAAGCTGAAACAGTACAAAATATTTATTATGTTCATTTAAAATTGTATTTTTCTTACTTTAAGCTGGTTCAGTCCCTGTAAGTACTTGAACGTATTTGTACATTTCCAAACAATAAAACATTGTTGTRCCCTAACAATAGAAGATGGCTGAAGATAATCATAGCTCAGGGGGAAAAAACATAAAAAAATGCAGTGAGTTGCATTTTTTTGGTTATTTTAGGAATAATTATAAAATAGTGAATAAGTTGGAAAAAAATCTTTATAAAGTTTCCCAAATAAAAAAATGCTGTTAAGTCAGAATAAAAAGGAAGAAAATAGTAGAAAGGAGATGTGAAAGTCATGAGCTGTTTTTTTTCCTTCCTAAAACAGGAAATGAGTTGCTGCCTAATAATAGTTTTATCAGAAAGATTTCCTGAAAACATGCATCAGAAAATGACTGGATTTTTTTTGTTGTTGTTATTTCTCAACAATATGGTGTAAGGATACTATTAAAATAATTGTAGAGTCTAAATTTTTACATTAAAGCCAATAAACGTGTATAAATTTAAGATTTGTATTTGTATGCATGTAAAATTAAATTTTATGTGAGAACACAAGCTTAGGATTTACTACTACAAGTTACAAAGTTACAATTTTACAACAATACAAGTACGAATCTCAAATTTACAAGGACATTTCTTTTACCCTGAGGAGCTGTCAAAATAATAYTAATTATAAATTGTTCCATTATGTGTTTTTGAATTTGCATCATTTCTCTAAAATGCAGTAGGTTTTATGAATTCATCGTTTATTTTCTTTGCAATGTTTTTTCTTTCATTTTCGTTATTTTTTCCCCATTTTCAAAGCATTTACTGTTAGCTGTTTACTGCGCATTTGCACCTGTTGGCCATCGTGTGTTCAGATGTTTGGTCGATCTTTCCAGTGTTCGATGCATAACATTATTTTGACAGTTCCTCAGGTTAGAAGAATTGTCCTTGTAAATTTGTGATTCTTACTTGTATTGTTGCAAAGTTGTAAATTTGTCATGTATTCTTAACTTATAAACCTATTCTCACAGACAACATATTCRATTTTACATGAATACAAATACAAATCTGAAATTTATGCATKTTTATTGACTTAACTGTACAAATYTAGACTCTTACGCATACAATTCTTTTTGATAGTAACCTTACCTCATAGACATGGACCAAACACTGCATCAGATTTTATGTTCAAAAATATTCTCTGAGAAATGTCAAGATAAAACTGTGAATACCCTAAGATAAGTTCCCATTCGACACAATGTTCATACATGTCATGATTGTCATGAAGTACATAAAATTCATCACGAATGAAGAAAATCTTGCAGATTAGTTGAAAAACTGCAGCTTGAATGTTTTTTTTACATCTCAGAGCCTGAGGTGTTTTCAAACCTTCCTCCTCTTCTCCCTCTTCCCTAAACTTCCCGCAGACAACACCCCCTTCACACACACACACACACACATACACACAGCACTCAAACCGGGACCCCACCCCCACATACATGTGCTAAGTTTTTTTTCTTTTATTAGGTTAACAGATTCTGTGAAGTTTGGGTTAAAGAAAGAAAACATAATAAGAGGAAAGTTCAATCCCACCTTCACCAGTGGAGGGGAAAAGAACAAATCAAGACTCTTGACAGCATCATGTGGTCTGCTCTTACTC